ATGTGTCTTAGGATAAAGTCGTCAGCAAGACAAAACGGACTACGGTATCTTCCCCCTATAGTCACTAACCCACTTCTAGATTTAATCTTACAACATGCAACCTCACATGTGCCACTGATATGAGCCTCTGATATGGTTGATTGTATACGAAAGTGATCCCTAACGTATAATATTATACCTCCCCCTTTGCGACTTGAAACTCGATCATTTCTAATACAGATATAGCCTGCAATGAACGGAGAACAGTCTATATCTACTGTGAACCAAGTTTCTGTAACAACGATTATATCGGGACATAATTCTTCCACCATCAGACTTAGCTCGGACGTTTTATTTCTAAGACTACGAGCGTTCGTGTAGCACACACTTAAGGTGTTTTGGCAATCAATCGTTCTACCCATACAGGCCTCGGAAGCATTGGCTTCCAAGACCTGACTACCCGAAAACCCTTAATGGTAAGGTTATTTTCGCCATTTAACTTGCGAGTCCTCAACTCCGTAAGAGCATTCTTCCACTTGATTCGATCCTCAAGCGGCCAATCTGGTCGAATACGGATATTTGAGTCACGAGTTTTTGGTGCGTTTTTCAATAATATGTCTCTGTCTTCGAAACTCCCGAGAACCAGCTTCAGGATCCTTCTTGGTTGGGTCTCGCCTCCAACCCATTTACCAAGTCGTATTACTTTTGTAATATGTACCCCTGAAACCTCTTCAGGTAGTACATTTCTTACCACAGACTCCACTAACTGCAGGTCATGTGCATGTCTACTAGCAGGGTCGTTATCTTTCGACTCCTCTAGATTTCAAATAATTAAACTAGGGAGGGGTTTAGCTTCTTTTGAAACTGTGTTAACAGCTTTCGACCGTGACGATAGATCCTGTATATTAACTACTGGTATCTTACGATTAGCTTTTATTGTAACAGAGTCCTGTGAGTGACTCACAACAGTGTTAGACGAAGCTTTTCTTTGGAGCTTTGGCGGATTGGTCTGAGAGTCCACCAAGGACTTATCAAGTAAACAGTCATTAGTTTTAGCTGTTATTCGATTTTTCTTCTCAGTCACGCCAGGATGGGTTTCACTCTTACCATCAGATTTTGGTAGTGCAGTTTGTGACTCACAATGAGAGTTCATCAGTGAGTTACTAACTACCTGTGTACTGCCTACAGATTTTTTCCTTTCGTTTCGTTTCCTACGTACCGTAGTCCATTTTTCATCCCTCAGGACATTGGGACTTTTTGGAACAGTGATGGTTTTATCCAGTTCGTCGGTTCCCACTAAAGATGCATTGTTATCAATGTCAGTAACAGGTGGTATTACTCCCTTTGTTAATGTCTAAGGAGATCTCATTTTTGCGTCGGTCAGAGTCGGTTGTTTGAGTCGTCGCGTAACAGCAGATGCTACACTGACACATTCGTCACTGTCAGCGCCGGTGTTGTCAGCGCATGTGTCATCGTTTTTCTTGCAGGCCAAAGCCAATAGGCCCATAGCCTCCTTAATTAGCACTTTTTTATCCGTACAGCAGAACATACAAAGCCAATGCGAGTTAGGCTTCGAGCATCTTTTGTATGCCATCGAACTAAGGCGTGTACACATTTTGTGGTAATACTTTTTACAGTCATCACACTGCATCCCCTCCTCAACGGGGAACAAACAATTTGGTTGCCCACATTTGTGAGTCTTACCAACCATTTTAATTAGATTTAAAAGTTTAAAAACACAAAGTGATCACAAAGTGAACACAGGTGTTAGTCAAGGACTTAAAAATGGTACTCAGGATAAAATTTAACAAAATATTTCAAACTTTAACCAAAGTACTATTAGTTAGAGTAGACCAAGAATGCTTTCTGGTGCAATAAGTACCCAAAGCAAGTATAATCACAACAAGTACAAAAATCACTGCCCGTTTTGAAACGAGCGCGTATTTATATGTGTAGGAAAGCGATGCGAAGTGGAGAATGCAGCTAAAAAAATGAAAAACGAAGTGAGGTGGAAGAGGTGAGTGAGACAACTCGTTTTGATAATGTGAGACTCAATATTTACAATCAGAAAAATTAAGCTACAGACACGAAATGAATAAGATAAGCTATACACACACATAAATATAGTTAAGGCTATTCAGCAAATAGTTGACAAGGCCGAAATGTGACTCAAGGAGAACGAATAAACTATTCTGTGCAAAAGCTAGAATAACCTACGTTAGCTTGTCATGGTAACAGTGTAGTGAACAGGAACACGGGTGGGGACATTCTAATGCATTTTCCATAAACATTACAGACTATCCCAATAAAATCTGAATACCATAAAGTCGATCGTCAATTTGCAAAATATTAATGCATCATGTCAAACTGGACTGTTTCCGTTGCAAACACTAATCCATTGTCTCCCATTCTATTGTACATGCGTTTTCTTACAAATTCCATTGTGCTCTTGCTCTTCCTTTCTTGATCTTCACCTCATCTTCTGCTGCCAGATATTACGTTTTATTTCGCGACATATACTACTTATATCAATATAAGTAGCACACACCACACTAGACGCTACACAATAACCAATTAAAAACATGTAGTGTGCTTATAATAAAAAATATTACTATCATCCAGTGTTGATTTTTGTCGGAAAAATGTTTGTTAAAAACTATTCTAAGGTTGTTCTCATTATCAATGAAAGTATGCAAACATGAAATTTATTCGTGATCAAACAACGCATTACTTTCTATGAATGCATTTTAAATACTACAAGAGAACGGCGTTACTAGCTTATATATTTTTCAAGAATGAACAATCATGGAAAATTTTGAATTACATCAAGAGACTACTTGTGTATTTTATGTTCACTTTGTAAATCAGTAACATAAAATTGTTATTTAATCAGAGTATTTTTTTCTTTGGCTAAATTGTCTTACCATTGAGAACAACTTATACGTAATTCATGTCACGTTTGCCGAGGAAGTATATTACTAAATATTTAGAAAGCATTAAAAAAATAACAATTATTAGTGCAATTGGATGTACTCTTTTTACCGTCCGTTAAGTAAAATGGGTAAAATAGAACTTGACATGCCACACATATATTTAACATAATTGGATGAACACAAAATGTTATTTACTTACTTACGCCTGTTACACCATGTGGAGTAGCACAGACCGTCCACCAAGATTCTCCATCAAAATCTGTCATGAGCAACCCTTTCCAGTTCTTTCCAGTTTCTGCTAATACATTTCATGTCTGCTTCCAATTTCCAGTGCACTATGTTGTTTGGTCTTCCTCTTTACCTTTCGCCTTCAGGATTACAAGTTCAGGCTTGCTTAGTGATGCAGCTTTAATATTTCCGCAACCTACGTCCTATCCTTTCCAACATCTTTTTATAATTTCCTCTTAAGCTGGAAACCAATGTGTTCTCTCCCACACAGGTCTGTTGCTGACGGTATCCGTCAACGGACATTGAGTATCATGCATAGACAAATGTTTGGAAATAGGTGTACATTTTTGATGATTGATGGGGTAGTTGTCCAAGTTTCAGCTCCATACAATAGAACTGTCTTGATGTTCGTACTGAAGATTCTCACTTTGATATTGATTGGCAGTTGTTTTGAGTTTCATATATTCTTCAATTGTAGGAATGCGGCCCTTACTTTGCTAATCCTAGCATTTACATCTGCATCAGATCCTCCACGTCCATCGACGATGCCAACCAGATAAGTGAAACTTTCCACTTGTTCCGGAGTTTCTCCATCAAATGTGATTGGTTTGAATTTTTCCGTATTGCGTTTGAAAATTTTACTTCTCCATTGTGTATGTCGTGGTCTACTGATGCAGAGGCTTCTGTATTTGTTGGTGTGCATCGGATAGAAGAGTCAGGTCATCTGAGAAGTCCAAATCGTTTAGTTGATTCCGAGCTATCCATTGTATTCCACTTTTCCCCTCAAACGTCGGGGTCTTCATAATCCAACTGACCACCAGAAGGAAGATAAAGGGTGAGAGTTATCATCCGTAGATGGTGGTTGTAGGTAGTCAACAGGAAACCCTGATATTTGGCACTCGTCAGCAAGATGTACCTGTAATTTTGAGGGAATTGTTTATCTAATCTCAACATAACGCATGCAATGTCGAGTCACCTAGAATAGTGGCCACATTGCAAATTGGTCGATAGCATTTAATCTGCACCAAGAAGGACTTGACACACATGACATTGATCACTACCCAGTGATTAATTAATTGTGAGTTATCTGTCTTGTCTGACTTTGGTCCTCACCTGGAATGAGTTTGTCATCTGTCCTCTAAGCACTTTTCACTGTAGTCCGTTGTATGAATTCCGAATGATATTGATGATCTTCTTAGGTACTCACTTCATAATATCGAAGAATGTTTCATAATGCTCTCCTATCCACACTTTCAAATGCTTTCTCACGGTCAAGGAAGTTGATTTCTGGTTCTATTCAACTGATTGTTCAACGATGATCTGTAGTGTGAAGATTTGGTCTCTGCTGAATTGAGTCCATTGATCTCGATTTTTGGTATCCACCGAATCTTCCATCCAGTTCAGCAACACTGTTGAGAACCTTTCCTGGTACTGACAGTAGTGCGATGCCTCTGTAACTGAGTTCTCACATTTGCTCTGATCTCCTTTCTTTGGTATATTCATGAGGTATCCTTCTTTCCAGTCCATCGGTACGTGTTCCTCTTCCCATTTCAAAATTTTAGCTACACAAAATCCCTGTATGGTAAAACACTGGAAAAAATTAACTAATTTGATGAGTTTTTCAGACCTTTGTGAACTTATAAGTTAATATCATTGTTTGAATTATATTAATAATATATGTCTAGTGAGTATGTCTTAATACAAATGATAAACACCAATAGACTATTTTAGGGTTATGTTTTATAATTGGCCAGTCATCAAGATCTACGTTGGGGTTAAATGATAAAATAAAGGTCCCATAAAATTTTGTTTAAAATACAATTAAAACTTCCGTTGGATACTGCTTTCATTGCTACTACCATGAATTATACTCCACAGATTTTACTGATGATCTTGTTGATTGTATATAAATTAGATTACAGTAAGATAACTTGTTAATATTTCATTTCATTATATGATTCATCTGTCCATTTAATTCTGCTTAATTTACTCTAATATTTCAACAATTCATCAGGTTATTTTCAACCAACAGCCAGTCTAATGAAAAGTAGTGAACTTCCATAGTACTGTAATAAATAATCTGAATATCTTGAGGGTTTTAATAAAAACTAAAATATATACTAAGTAGGTTTTTGTTCTTGTCTATCTAGCTGCTTGGAAAACGTCAAAGTTTGAGAATGTTGCAGTATTCGTTTGCTCTAACACTTCAGAAGTTTGTTATATAAATAGATTTTCAGGGGGAACGACCTCTGGAGAAAAACTTGATAGTCATTTGTTGTCAAACAAAGACAACCATGATTTACCGGTAAACATATTTCAAATTATTGAGTAAAGTTACTAAGACAGAAAGTGAAATGTTGATAGGATTGTACCTTTAAAATCAGTTAAAATGATTAACAAATTTCATTTGATCCAAATGAGTTTAAACTATGAAAACAAACAGAATGTTCAAGTAGTTAGATAAAATGTTTGGGGATATTCAATCCCTTTGTAGATCCATAACGTTCACTCTATGAATTTCCTACATAATATTGCGGAAGACGTATTGTGAATATCTTCACCGATTATTATTCATTTGTAATAGGACAGGTAAACATTATTATTACTATTCTGATCATATATCCAGTGCTGCTTTGTATCAATAAAACTATCGAAATATTACGTGGGTCGTAGATAATAGAATATTTAAAACATAGAGACACATGAGTTAATTGGGTTTTTTAAAAGGAATGCGAGATATAACATCTTTTTCTGTTTGAGACACCAGCTTAAAATCTATGAGATAAGGTTGCACTGCCAGAATACACAAATTAGCTGTTCTTGCACAAAGCTGAGAAGTAATTTGATTGAATTTTTCTCTCATTGTATATAACATCTAAGCCACATTATAGATATTAGTTACTAGTTATGCATTAAATATGATGTTATTTTCATCGTGGACTTGTCTATCATTGGAAAAACCTTAAATTTCCATGAAATAAAAATAACCTTGGTAGTTGATTGTCTCACAAGAATTTTCATTATTTAATGTTAATTTAAATAAATGAATTTAGTGAGAATCAAGGAGCCGTTTATTTGTTAAAATCAGAAGAAAAAACAAACCAAATGAGATTTTTAAACTAAGATTATAAGACAAATCCCCTTTGAGTAGCCCATAAAAATTTACCACATAAAAACTCCCCGATGGTCACATTTTATTTTCTATCCTCCTCACAGCTACTGCTTAAGGTTGACTTGTTTATTATCATGTTTCATGCTTCTTCATAGACTGGAAAATCAGTGGAATAATCATTTATTACAAACTGAAGATCATTCTCAAAGCATTCACATCAAGATATATCTAACTTGACTATCAAAGGTAAATTAGTAGATAACATTGCATGATGTCGATAAGACAACAAAGTGACTAGTCGTTGGTGGATCTAAACGGAATTCAGCTTAAAAATATAGATTTAATCCTTTTTTATGTATCTCTTGAATTAAATTTATTTAACTAAGATTCAGTCTTTAACATCAATGGATAAACACAAAGTAATTGCGATTTTAATTATCTGATAGAGATGCCTATTTAATTTTTGTGAGCACTTCCTACTAGTATCTAATATAAACCATCATTAAGTTAACCTAGTTTGAATGATATACTAGAACATATGTTAATATATGTTAATGGTGGAACACTAAATTAAACAAACACTTTAAGTAGTTTGTATGCTAATTTCATATTGATAAACCTACTGGTCATGTCGTATTTCGAAATATTATCTTCACACTTATAAATATGCCTATTTTAAGACACAAATGTGTTTCTAGTTAAATGTATATTTTCTACTGTCCATGTGGATTGCGACTCATCACAGTCCATCAGTTCCGGAAGAATTAAGATTACAAACGATCAATCACCAATAAATATCTGATCCACTCATATTCTTAATAGATCCCTATCAGTAGGAACAGTAATAATTTCTACAAATCATCTAAATATCATGATTAGTATCGACTGTCAGGATAATCTAAATAGACGTACAATATTGACATTGGTATTATTTTCATCTCTTTTGATTTCAGGTACGTCTTTGAGTTGCTACACTTGCGAAACTTGTCCAGACCCATTTAACTCTTCATATCCACAAGTAAACAACCAAAGTGGATGTGCATGGTGTGCCGTAAGTGAAGTAAAAAATTCATTTATTCAACTTAACTGAGGAAATGCTGTTTTTTTTAATATTAGACTAACATCTCATCGTCGGTTAGTGTGATTGAATACATGCAGCAGATGCTTAGTAATGATTTCACCTCCTTTGTGATAACGTAACTAACCACCTATTTCCTGAAGATTGAAATCTGACCCGTTCTACTAAGTTCTGAGGAGCAATTAAATCATGTGAATAAGTATTGTTGGTAGTTCCCAGTTATTTTAAGCTAAATACATAGCACCATATTGTTAGGTTTCTACACACTATTAATAGTATTAACTGTCAGTGTTGCTGTAGTTAGATTTGAAGAAACCTGCATGTTTATCGTATAAAAGAGCTCAGTGGAAAAAATATTCTGATAACTGTATTGATAAGAGCAATTATGAATTTGATTCATGTATGTAAACCGAGATAAATCAGCCTAGTTGGAACGTTGAAAGCATCATATGAAATCAAATATGTCACTACTGTTTGTCATAACTAAACTACGACACTGGTACGTGTGCTTCTTCTATCACTGGTGTTGAATTTTTTCATCAATAAGATTGGACAGTGCATTTAAATAGTTGTAAGAAATTAATAGAAAACAACGGATATATAATAACAGCAAAATGCTGTTTTATGACTGAACTCACTACAATAAAGGAATCTATCCTCCATATTCTATACTCCTCATTAATATTTTATCAAAATATTTAGTTGAAATATTTATGAATTAAAATTCAGTTGTTTGGATTAACATTGTGCTCATCAGGAAACCTGATATTGGTGGTTTGAATACTATATCAAGTTACAGGAGTAAACTAATAAGACATCCTGAACTTTTCAGGGGTATTATAATGATTTAAAAACTGCATTAATACATCTTATCGTTCTAGATATCAGTGAACAAACTAGACATGATATATACTAACATCTTTTCTTTGTTGATTAATTATTTATGTGTTGTGGTTAGTTGCTAAATTCTAGTAATACTATATGTTTAATATGTTTTTTTTAAAGAAAATTGTTTTTGTATAAACCTGCTTCAAGTTTCTTTACAGAATATCCAGAAGGACGGTAGGCGTACAAGAATAGAAATATGGTGCTTTATTGTGAAAAGAATTCACATTTAAGACAAAGATAATTAGGGGTTTATTTGATAGTCCAATCGATTATGAACTGAATCGACATAAATGTCTTGCAATCGCACATAATGATGCAGACAAATCTTGACAATAGCTTTAAGAATTTTTCCAATAAAAGGTTTTATGATTGAAATATAACAACAAAATATACAATATCTTTGTAGTGTAGTGAACAATAACACGAGTAGGGACAATCGAATGTATTTGACACGAAATTACAGAGCATCTCAATCAAATCTGAGAACCATATAGTGAAAGGTTAATTTGTAAAATATCAATCCATCATTCTCAAACTTGACTGTTCTTGTTGCAACCATCAATCCATTGTCTCATATTTCATTGTTCATGTGTTTTCATACCAACTGTGTTCCGTTCCCATTCTAGCAAATAAACAAAACCTTTTTATTAATTCTGTATAATGTCCAAATAAAATTCTGAAATAAAAACAGATTTATGTGTTAATATTATATGTTTATAAGAATAAATTTTCAGCTATTTTTATTGACTGATTTCTCTTATTGTCTATTATAGAAGATTACGCTTAAAAAGCGTCGTTCTCCAATAAGACAATGTGCAGACAGATGTGACTATTTATATTTTTGGAAATCATACTCCAAGTTCTCTTATTATTGTTGTAATACTGACTATTGTAATAAAAGTATACAGAGTTATGCAACTCATCAAATACTAATTATGATTGTTATAACACTTGTTTGTTTCTATATTAATAAAAAATAAACGAAAAGAAAACACAAAACAACGAACCTTACAATTTGCCTAAATCAAATTCATTCATAACTTTATCTTTACTTTATATATTTATTTATATTTGTGTGTAAAAATGCTATTTCATTATTTGTAGCTTAGAAATCATATTTTAGTGTATTGAATCCTCTTTTGTATTGATGATAATACTTTAGAAACAAAAAAGAAACATTTCACTGCTTATCTTTGGATTCTTTCATCAAATAACTTAGTAACTAGTTGGAGACACCATACAGTACACACTGAAGATATATGTGTTGAATTAGCTGACATAACTTAATTACCATATCAAAGCTTAGTAAAATTAGTCTTCACTGTTTAGATCGATTGTTCACTAGAATTATTATGTAAATACTGAACGAATTCTAACAATCAAGTTTTAATATAATTTGAAATCGTGTACACTATATTGTATTGTTAGGTGGCTAGAAGTAGTTGTAAATAGACTAAGATTTTCTAACTTATCGACAATAGATTAATTTAAAAACGTTAAGCTTACTAAGCAACGAATTGATAACTATAAATCTACACACCTTTGCGCTTAAAAAGCGAATATGTTTAGAGTTGCTTTTAAATATTAACATGAGCTGATTAAATAATACCTTCAATCTATTAACCATTTGACCTGTTACATTTCTTCTTTGTACAGTGTTATGGTTATGGATGAATTTGACAAAAAATAAATGACCAAATGATTCATTGATTCAAATTTAACTTATTGTTTACATTTAAATGTTTTCTGTGTAACTCGAATGTTACACAATTGATAACTCTTGTAAATTGCTGTATAAGAAATACAGGAGTAGTAAAAAATAGGTCTATCTGAAGTAGAAGATCCCAAAAATGCTTCTAATAACAAAACAGTTCCTTAACATAAGACACTAAATATTGATATTGTGTCTTGGATAAATCTTGAGATTTATAAGTATCAAACTATTGATTTAGCGTCCAGATTCTTGCTTCTACTCTTTCCCCTGCTCAAAAATGTTTGGAAGTATTACTATCAAATATTATAAACAATTGAGGACATTTTTAGTCTCTGATATTCTGTATGTGCTAGTTACAAATAATTCGCTATTTCTTGTTGCATCAAAAGTATAACAAACAAATGTTCCTAAGGTTTACTTTCATACTAAGTCGTGAGAATCATGAATTTTATTCAAAGTTTTAACACGCATATATCATTCAATCTAAAAATAAATTTAAATTGGGTTTAACAATGCTTTATGTAATGATTAGCAACCATGGGTTAGTCCTTGGCATTAGGCTTATTACATAAGAATAAAACCAATTCAAATCTACTTCAAATTGGAAGAAATTCTAAGGTGTGTTCCCAAAAGATTCCTTTAGCTAGAATGTTAAATTTTTCAGTATCTCATTAAATTTACTAACTATTCTTGGAAGAGAATATCTAACTGATAAATCTTCTGACTGAACTCTTGAATCGATTTCTTAGGCTCTATTAATAACCCAAGGCAGAATTCATACGATAACATCAACACGAGAGAAAAGAAGCGAAGTTTGCAAAGAATGTCTTACTCCGAATTTAGTTTATGTACGGAAAATTGAGGGTATATATAACATTCTAGATGACCTCGGGCTTCCGGAACGTTCTGGAGCCCTACTAAACATAGTAGCATGATATGTAGTCAACCGATTAAAAATGTGACTCATAGCTCTTTACTTTCTCGATGTTTATGAGAAACTCCTATTCAATGCTGGTTAGATAAAATGTTATCCAGTGTTTAAAGGGCTTCTCTGAGCTTTTTTTCAAGGAATTATCTGGGTCTTCTCAACACTAACTATAAACTAGATATTAGCATTCATATTGACAGGAAATTATGTAGATCAGTTAAATAAGTTTTTACGTTTGATTCATAAATGCGAAAATTTAATAGGAAACGTGTCAAGACCATAATATATTAACTTGATACTTTCACTGACGTTCCCGTTTGTGTAAATTTCGGATCATTCTTCAGGTTAGGGTTTTTCTGGTTAGCGTTTTTTTTAGCGAGTTAGTTTTCTACGGGATGGAGCCGCTAACCTTATACCCAACCCTCCTCCTTTACCCGAGCTTAGGACCGGGGGTAAATCTAGAAGAGCTACAGGCTGGTTAATTTTAATGCAATGGGTTGATTATACCCATTTTATTAAAAAGGAACTTTATTATAATTGTTTGAAATCTTCCATTCTATTGAAACAAAAATATATGACCTTTACTTTAATTGTTAAAAAAACTTTCTTATTCTATTATAATATGAACTAGGCATTAATTGTTTAAAAATTTCAATTCTGTTAAAACAAAAGTTTATTGAAAATGGTAATGATCATTAAACAGAGTTAGGATAAATACTTTTCAGAAATATATTGTATACAATATATTTGTATTAAACAGTTAATATTGGCTAAAAGTCACATTACAATTGTAATGAACTTAAAAGAATTACATAAAATGAAAATAAGAAAGCTTGTCAAAAATCATGTATAAAAAGATGATCAATAAACGATATGGAAACAATGAAATGATGAATTACTTACAAATAGTATTTATATAATTTTTTCTGATTAGCGTTTTTCTAGCGAATTAGTTTTCTACGGGAAGATAGTCAATATCATACAGAATTCATATGATGAATTAAACTGAAAAATCGCGCATGGAGGACAGTTGACAAACCCGTTCGAAGTAAAAACCGGTGTCAAGTAAGGTTGCTTACTCTTACCCTTTCTCTTTCTCCTGGTGATCGACTGAATCATGAAGACGTCAACATCTGAAGGGAAGCACGGGATACAGTGGACATCTAGGATGCAGCTGGACGATCTAGACTTCGCAGATGATCTGGCCCTTCTAACCCAAACGCAACAACAAATGCAGAAGACGACCAGTGCAGCAAAAGCCTCAGCAGCAGTAGGTCTCAATATACAAAAAGGGAAGAGCAAGATTCTCCGATACAACACAGCATGCACCAATACAGTCACACTTGACGGAGAAGATTTGGAAGATGTAAAATCCTTCACATATTTGGGCAGCATCATTGATGAACACGGTGGATCTGATACAGATGTGAAGACACGGATCGGTAAAGCAAGAACAGCATTTTTACAACTGAGGAACATCTGGAACTCAAAGCAACTGTCAAACAATACCAAGGTTAGGATTTTCAATACAAATGTCAAGACAGTTCTACTGTATGGGGCAAAAACCTGGAGAACTACAAAAGCCATCATCCAGAAGATACAAGTGTTTAATTAACAGATGTCTACACAAAATACTTCGTATCCGTTGGCCGGACACTATTAGCAACAACCAAATGTGGGAAAGAACCAACCAGATCCCAGCGGAGGAAGAAGCGATGGAAGTGGATAGGACTGACAATGAGGAAAGACAAGCCCTCGCATGGAATCCTCAAGACCAAAGGAAGAGAAGAAGACCAAAGAACACATAACGGTGAGAAATGGAGACAGACATAAGAAAAATGAACAAGAATTGGATGGAACTAGAAAAGAAGGCCCAGGACAGAGTGGGATGGAGAATGCTGGTTGGCAGCCTATGCTATATTAGGAGTAACAGGCGTAAGTAAGTAAGTAAGTATTTATAAAGGTGTCCATATCTATTCATAGTTAATTCACAACTTTAACGTAAGAAAGCAACTGAATGTCTAAAATTGTAGACATATTTTGAAATTGTAGCAATGACTGGATAGGATAAATGCTTATAGCATCAACTAATAATGTATACGAAGAGGTTCATATCGAAACTTGGTACTTCACTAACTTTGAGAAAAGGAAATTGGTGTTGTTTATTAGCATATATTTTACGTAAACAGTAATCAACGTTCAATAAAGTTTGATTAAGGAAGTTAACAATAGGATTAAAACAAAGTTTTCTAACGAATAATGATAAATTTAAGAGTTGGTTGATGCTATGAAAAATATGAATATTATCAATGATCGATTACAAAATAATTTTAATAATTGATATATGTGAAAATTATATTTGAAATAATCTCAGCGATTGAAATTTAAATAATTCCAACGTTTCGTTCAGCAAACTTATCTAAACTTCTTTAGGGTAGTTGATAGTTTCTATCCAAAAACGTTCTGAATATTAATGTACTTCAAAAATGCTATAATATATATATAGAGAGAGAGTTTATAAGTATAACTTACTTTAAGCTTTTGACAACGTTTCTATATTTTAAAATGCATGGTATGTTTACAGTTTTAAATTCGATATATTTTTTGTAAGTTAAGATTATCTATTACATTTTTCTTTAAATCTATGGAGTAAACTGTCGTGTGAATACTACTGAAATCAACATGAAAATTTTGTAATTAAAAATATAACAAACAGAAATGAAAACGTAATTCAACTGTCAAAATATTCGAGTTGTACTGGTAATTGTAAAAACTAATCAGAAACAAAACTAATCGTTATGAAAACAAATTATCATTTAATTATATTTATATTGTGAAGGATTTGTGGTTTATAAGAGAGAAGTGATTTTGTATCTTATACTTTACAAGTAAGTTAAAATGCAATACCTTTCAATAGCGTGTGATTTGAACCATTCGTAAATGTTGCTTTACACTCTAAATATAACTTTTTTTTAGCTATTTCTAGATTGATATCATGAATGGATCAATGTTAGACCACAATTAAAAACCTGGAAGCACTGGACGACTGTTTCGTCTTAGTATAGGACTCCTCAGAGATGCGAACTCTTAAGCTGTTCACAGGATATTGGACGCGCGCCGCTGACGAGTCCCACACTGGGATGAAACAACCGTCTAGTGCTTCCAGGTTTTCGATGGCATTATAACGTTCATCCATTCATGATACCAATCTAAACTCAACGATCTCCATAACCCTACACAGATTTCTAAACAAAACCTCAGCCTGATGTGATTTGTTATGAATACTATTTATTGAAAATTACTGATCCAGATTTCTTGTACCGGTGAAATAAACTGATCAGAGGTACAATTTTTTATTATCAGTTTGTTCTGATCAAACAATCATTCTAGATATAATATTAAGTTATTGAGTTTTTATCTTACCTTATGAATGATACCGGTTGCAGCAATTCGTCTAAAAATCAGTAATTTATAATCGTTGTAATAAAAATTCCACAGGGTACGAAAACATTTCACATTTGTCAGATAGTTATAAGATCTATAGGAAGTCTGGAAAGTGAATTGTCAACGTTTTACAACAATTTCTGGAAGATTTTTCGCGTTGTCACACTATATTGTCTGGCGATAGTGAATATTTAATATAGACAACAACTGCATGAAATTGACATGCAAATAACAAGCGAGTAACAATATGAAACACAAATATTTTTGATATTTTTCTCTAATGAAAAGATTTATGAATATAACTATGACGCTAGTATAACTACTCATTATATTTTTCTGTAACTTACTCAAATGACTAACATCAGAAATCAACTCAAATTAGTCAATTTTCAAAATGCTAGTTAATGCGTTTTGATGGGTGTCTGACTGTTTCAACCGAATATTGAAATCTGTTGCAAGTCTGTTACTCAGTGGAGTGAGATTTAAAGAAGTAACAGTAGGTTTTCGAATTCGATCAACGGATTAGGAATAACAAAAACACCATATTTAAATAAACAGCTTTTTGAATAAGGCCATTTTCCTAGCAAATAAAGTCTTGTCTATAACTTATTGCAACATCTATAATTAACTGTCTTACATGTTTTAAAATAGTAGTCTAGATCATAAAAAATCAACTCATTGTGTTAGAGTTTATTGTAACACTAAAATGGTTATCGTTACCACAACTCCACTGCAAAACAATTAAGTGTAAATCGAGAGTGTCGCAAACAGGCAACTGAAAACAAACACCACCTACATACTCTGATAAAGGTTACTAAGTTGGAGAAAATAGTAGACTGCCTGCAAAATCATGAATAAGCATGTCATTTTTTATTGTTCATTTTAAAACTGAAATATTTTTTTGACAGACTCAATCGGACACTTCGAATGAACATATGAAGCTTCAACAGATATGTGTCAAGTCCTCATTGTCAAAAAGTTTAAAAGAATTGGTTTATCAGATGTCACTGATTGACAAATATCCGTTTTTATGCACCTTGGATGTAAGTTATTAAAGTTGGGTAGGCTTATGATGTGTGGATGTGAAACTAAAGTATGATTGGTCACTGAACGTGGATAAACAGGCACTTAGCATACGGACTGTTAAATATGTGATTTCCTTTCCTCTCATTGATTTCTACTCCACACTTACTGAGAATGACAGCTTGTAATTGTCTTTAATAGAGTACCATTAAGCTTATACTCTGACTATCTATTCCGGATCGTGAATCCTGATTCTGATATAATATGACTAGCCTCATTATCGTATTAACGCATTATAGTAGTAATAGCTGAGCGAATGAGAAAAATATCCGTTATATCAGTTTATTAGAATCATCGAACAGGGATAAACAGGCATTTTTAAGATAAATTAATTTTATTCAAATCACTGCAATAAATAATTACTCACTGTTTTTCTGCAACATACTAGGAGGACAAACCAATTCCTATGTACCAAAGATTATTATCTTAATATTAATATTTCACCTATTGTATGTAGAGCAATTTACAGCCCATTTTGTATTTCACTTTCCATATTTATGCTGTTATTGTAATGGTCTGACAATATCAGAGCCGTCAGTTTATTGAGCACTATACAGTGAGAGTAAAAATTGTAAAAACCAAATGAAATTTTAGGGATCTGATGATACTGCTTAACTTCGTTAAAAGAGAGCACTTAAAATGTAACAATAAAATTCTGATCATTGTATTCAAACATGCAGCGTTGAGTTCTGTTGGCAGTATGACATTTAACAGTTATTTAAACGTTGATTCCCTTATCAATGAAATTATGCATATAGGAGTTCTGTCAAATAACAGTACGACCAGCTTGCAGAATGTAAACAGACTTATCTTTGTGAAGCAAACTCTTCTGATTGACCAAGATATTTATACGGATTTTATATTCAGAGCTCTAAATGCCTTTTATAAATGTATTTCAGACAGAACATGAAAATTGTGTTAATGGCATGAATATCTATCGGGAGTAAACAACCTTGAAATGGTGGACGGAATGAAGGATTCACATGTTGATTTTCTGTTGCTTTCTCAAAGTAATCAAGTATGATAGTTTTAATTTGCAGTATCATGTTTGCTAAGCGTAGTCGATATTTCTTTGAGAACACTTCTGGTGGTGTTAGATGCTATTTACACGATCATAAAAGCTTAATATAATATAACTCAGAGGATTCACATTCAACATTTAACACTCAGAGAAGGTCAGTAATGGTGAACACAGGAATATTAAATCTGTACGGCATGATTTGGCTATGCAGGTGTGTTTGCTCCATATGACCTCTTGCTTTTCATACTATCTATATTATCCTCTTCCCAGTCTAAATGTATTATTCAGCATAGCCCAGCAGCAACAATTTACTACCAAGACAGAACGAGTCAATGTAGATAATGATATGACTTCCACGTAAGGTCTGATAGGTTAGGTAGTCACATCATGGTAGTTCTAAAATTTTGGATGAGGTATGCTATTCTAGTAGCACAGATAGGTCTACTATTTTAACGAACGATGAACTGAGGTAGAGAAGACCAATTTATTGTGCTCCCATAAAATATGAAGACCATACATGACATCATCTGTACATCTTCGAGCAGCTTTCTCTTACAATCTTCATTGTCCCCTCATTCCTGTTGTTATTTTGGTTGCTTTCAGTTTTCTTTTCTTTTTTTTTTATTTCAGTCTTCTCGATCTTCTACTGGCATGCAATACACTTTCAACTGGTGTCACATACTACCTATATCTGTCAACATAAGTAGTATACACCACAGTATTATTAACCTAGATCTTAATCCTGGACATCTGTCGTGTAATTGAATTTATGCTTCTTAAAGCAGCATATTGCTCAATCTTTTACAACTATGTACAACAAAAGTATTTATCAATGTTATTTGATCTATTCATTCTTCAGTATAATAAGTCGAATAGCTAAAATACATCTGTGTAATCATAAGTGTAAAAAAAAACAGTCAGCGACCAAAAAAATTATTTATAGTAGAAAGCTTGAAGAATTTGAATCACCAGCTAAGCTTCACACATACAGGTTAATTTCTAAATTAGTAACTTATTATCAATGTTTAAATAACATTAACAATACATGTCTATTGAATCAGTATATCTGTAGTATGAATACAAACACCAATAAACATGTTGCGTCTTTCCGATTGGTTAACCAACGAGATGTACTTTAAGCTCTAAAGATAACACAAAGGTCTTATAAAATCCTAACTATAATACTGTAGGTAATTATTGAGACTCTTAACATTTGAATTTATTAGTCGGAGTTTAATTATATTCCTATCATTATGATGTATATGGCACAATTCCTACTAGTGATCTCGCTGATTATAATTAATATGAATTATAGTAAGATCATTTATTAAAGTTTCATTTCATTTAATGTTTTAATTATACAGAATACGCACAGATTTTGATTTTATTATGCTTAGTGATTTCAGTCATTCGATAATTTATCTTCTTATTTATAATTAACAGTCAGTTCCATATTCATTGGTAAGCTTGAATAGATAATGATCAGCAGTCTTTCAGTTCAGTATCTACCGAAGTTAACAAACATATTCTGACTGTAATTAGTTGAATAAAACTACATCATTATTAGGTGTAATAATTCTTCAAATTCATTTCGAAATATTTGATTAATTGATGGACACTAGATTTGAAGCATTGAAACATTTAATGTTACAGAGAGCTATTGTATATCTGTTTTATGATAATTTGATTTTGCATTCTTATAGAATCTTAAAGTGATTTCTTTAAGTAATGATCTTAATGTTTTAGCACTTTTCAGTTCATTCATCTAATAGGACACTAGTTACATTCCTAAATTACTGACTCAATGTTAGAATTAACAATAATCGGTGTATCCATTACTATATAATGGGTTGTAGTAAGCATCTTTTTAACAATAAATTTTGTTTAAATGAGAACTTTATACGAATTGATCTAAACAATATATATAAGTCTATACTATAGTGATTGCTTACCAAATATATATTTACACTCGAATGCATAATTTAAATGCTTTATATGCATGGAGTAACATCAAGTAGTAAATAGGAAGTGAGATATAGTAATCACTTCGGTGTTCCGATTAGAATTTGGCACCATTTATCATGATATCGTTTGAATGGTTTGCATTAAATCTCAGAAATAAATAATATAATTAATAGACTTAATCAGTTAGATAGTAAGTAGGTGGCCTAGAGAAAATAGTAGGCAACCAACTTATGTATAGTTTATTAGTTCAAAGGTGGACTACACAGGTAATGCATTCCTGACTATTTTTTGAACCAATTTGTTTTAAACAATTTGAATTCCGACTTAAGCGTTCATATAAAGAATCAGTATTCTTAAGGCTTCCCTACACTATAAAATTCAAGGATACATTTATCCGTAGTACCTCGGAAGTTGGTTAAATAAACTGAATCTATTTATAAAATATTTTAAGAAAACCAGCTTACATGAAATAACCTACCTGTCATTTGTCGTTATTAAGAAACAATTGCACTTTGTATGTAATCATATTCCTAATTAATAAACATATCCAAACTTAGAAAATAAACTAAGAAATATAGATCATAATATTTGACTACTGAGAAATTAATCAGCAACTAAATACAAGCTACAATATTTTTCGGAAACTAACTGTACTGTAGGTAAAATAAGTTCTGCGAAGAAAGATAAAACATTAATTGATCTCCAGCAAAATTTCAATTTCTAGACTTTTTTTCCTCAAACTTTACTATATATGGTGTGCTGTGATAACTTTCACCCCTTTTTTATTCATTTGTACTAGAGTATATTTCATCAAAATTCTTAGTACGAATAGTATTATTATATGGTTTCATTTTATTTGTACTCAATAAGATTAACGAAATGTTATATGGATTGCAATCAAAGCACTAACTGAAGTGTTGAGATAGGTGAATAAATTGGATTATGCTAAAAGATACAAGAGAGGACGTTTTATTTCACAACGATACGGGTTTGAGGTCTATTTGATATAATTACATTTCCAGAATTTATATACTGACCATTTTGTACGAGGCTGAGCAATAATCATTCGTTCGATTTTTATTCATTGCAGACAACACTGAAGCCACATAATAAATATGAGTTATAGGTTGTCCACTAAACATTCTGTCATTTTCAATCTGTTTTAATATCCATTTCAGATTAATCTGAAATCTTCACAAGGTTGAAATAGCCCTGGTAATCGATTGTTTTACGGAAGGTTGTCATGTCAAAATCTGAGTGAATGCTTTCCGTCAATTTACTATAACCATTGGAGTCTGTAGGAACTAATATTTATAGAGAAAACAATTTTCATTTGTCAAATTTACAGAAAAATAAGTCAAATATGATGCTTAAATAAAAATAATAAGACAAATGTCCAAAAGATGGTTATTGAGACTTTAACACAAAGTATCTACCCGTTCAAATAAAGCTAGAGGGATAAGGTTTTTCAAAATTAAGGGATTTCATCATATTGCGTGCCTTCATATCAGCTACAAACTGTAAAGTTGAAAGCAAACAATGACAGGTTTAAGGTCAACAAGAACCAATCAACATCGAGATGTACAGGACAAGCTGTCAACCACATGTGGAAAAATCCGAACACTTCACTTCCGTATTAAGTTTGCACTGATGATGTCGTTCAGAAGAACGATGAAAGCTCCACGACCAAACCATCCAGCTCAGAGAACAAAACTTCATCAAAAGCTGGCAACAATACAGAAATCTGTCCACTAGGACTGATTGGTTGGAAAATGTCGATAGAACAATGAGAAGACGGAGTTGATCTGAAAAATGTGATGTATTAGTTGCTGCAAGTGATTAGTATATGAATACTGAATACGCAGTTATATAAAGATGTAATATCATAAATAACGATTAAAGGGAAAATCGAAAAATATTCAAACAAATAAATGATTTTATAATCAAGCTACTTAGGAGAGCCAAAATCAAAATTAACATTGTGAGTGAATAGCAGTGGAATGTTATAAAAATATAAAACAAAACTAAAAAGTGTTATGCCATTACTACTATTTAACAAACCTATTAGAGTTTCATCACACTTGAAGGTGTAACGAAGAGTAAAATCTGGATTTATTTCATAATAATTAGTTAAAAACATCTTTTGTTATACTCTTGTTATATCTAATATCCTTAAAGTGCCTTATGATCTCACCAGTGAACAGTTTTACTTTCTTTAAAACAGTTTTCGAAGGATGTGTTTAAAAATCTTTGGTGATAGTTTTCTCACAACTGTTCCTATAGAATTGCTACCACGATTAAGTGCAAAATCAAAAATACAATTGTAGGTGGCTTCATAAGGGTACTGATCCACTTCCGATTATTTTATTAAACATTTCCTATCATATAAACACTCATATAAGTATTTTAATGTAAGATAATCTAAGGTTTAACACACATATTAACGTACCAACACTAAGTTGGTGATCAACTTACTATTTGAGAAATAGTTGTAGTATTTATTGTTTAGTAGATCTTACCCCAAAAATACTAAATTTACGACTACAACTGGTTAAATTATCTATGACCACAATACTTCATCTAAATAATTCCTATATTTTGGGAATCATCAACTTTTTGATATTTGTGGATGTACCGGTTTGTAAGTTCTAAATATCACAAGAATTTGTGCAATAGATTGCATTCAACTCTCCATTGTCAAAACAAAAGGTACCCGTATGTTGAATAGATTAACTGAATGGCTATATATAAAATTTTACCAATATAGTTTTGTCGGCGTTTAAGGCTTGAAATCAAGACAGTAGTTACTACGTTGTGATGGATCAATCAAACATTTAAGCCAGTTTAATTCTGATAGATATGATTTACTTCTTGATGCTACAGATAATTAGTTCAATAGGATGTATGACTTAACTGCTGATCACCTTTCATTGGAAATAACAGCGTCATAAATATTTTCTTAATGCTTATAGATTTTATTGAAATCACCGACCGATCTAAGTTAGATAAACATTAAAAACCTGGAAGTGTTGGAAAACGTTTTCGTCCTGGATGGTGGTGCGAGACCGAAAGCTCTGACTTCTATTCTCGATTGCGGTGTTGTGGATGAACACTATCGAGTTGGTCCATACCAGGACTAAAAAGCCATCCAGTGCTTTCTGGTTTTCAATGGTTGTTTAACTTTGATTGGTTGATGATTTCAATGGAATTCAATAATCTCAACGACCTCATACTTACACTTACTAATTTACCAGCGGTATGACTTAAAGTTACCTATATTTGGATGCAAAAATGTTACTATCGTTCTGCATTTGAATCAGAGATAGCACATTATGTCATGTAAGATAATGAAATATTGGTATATTTCTATTCAATCAGAATTTAAATTAATATAACAAAGAATTAATGTTCACAATTTTAGCAGATAATTACCAATATGAGTGATAATCTGTCCTATTAGTTATCACGGCTTACTAATGGTGAGATTATTGTTATTTTTATTTCTTCTGACTTCAGATCTGTCTTTGAATTGCTACTCATGCTTACTATGTCCAGATCCTTTCGATCCTTCATCACGACTGGTACACAATGAAAGTAATTGTCAATGGTGTGCAGTGAGTGAAATCAGTAAAAAATATTCATTTTTGGGAATACTATTCACTTACTGAATTATAATAAGTACTTACAGTTTTACAAATGAAACTCGATTACAGGACCTAAAGTATTGTACAGTAACTGGTGTATATACTTAAATACGTACAACAGACTAGTTGTGGATTCACTGCATTTCCGAAGTTATTTCTTTGAGAACATGCTAGGTTTGAAGCGGTTACGAGTTCACTTAGATTAAGAACGGAACAAAGACTGTGACCAAAAACCAACAAGCTAGCTATTCGATGCATCCCAGTCCCGCTAACTAGAGGAGGAAGTCCAAGCTTGGAATGGGGAAGTATATTCCGAAAACAGCCAGAAACGAGCGATAACAACAAACACAAGTCAAAACGTATATATACAGAACAAAACCGTCCTTGGGGAGAGTTACAAAATAGCATTCTAAAAGACACAACGGACCAATAGCATTTCAGATTCCACCAAGTGGGAAATACAAGATGAAGGTGAAAAGAGCGCTTTGGTGCGAGAACAAAGAAATTGGAATTTTCTAAACAAAATTACAAAATCAGGTCCCTTTCAAAATGAGTTCTGGGGATCTAACGTCCCCAACAGAATATAACTGCTCAACTATCTCCAAGATTTTGATAGTTGGTTATTTTTTTGAGATCTATAAAAAGCTTAACTAGAATGAAAGTATTTTGTTTGTGCCTTCTGATTATTTAAAGCGAAAAGCAGTGTTACTACGCTATCGATTGTTTGAGCTTTGATCAAATGAATTTTATTAACAAGAAGGGTTTGTTTAAATTGTTGGATTTTATAATGAATATCACGATATGAAATTAGTTAGACAATTATTTAAACCTTAAAAATAATGTTTTGTCCTAGTGTGGAACTCCTCAATAATGGGAACTCACGAGACAGTTACTTAGCAGTATTGTAGAGGTCAATTCCTCTATATTTGACTCCAGTAAATGATATCCTGTTAACTGAATATTTTAAGCAGGTCGATTCTCCTAGTAGCCCTATGAATTCGCTCGAAAATATTCAAAATCCAGAACACCAATTGTTGGTAGAGTGCATTGTTAACAATTGATAAAGTCCGTAAGCTCGCAAAAGACAAGCACACTGGGAAGCGAGAGAGCAAGAGTGAGTGTCATACATATTTAAGTCTATTAATCAATTATGAGAAAGTTATTGTTTGACTATGTAAACAACCAATCGGAGAATAAATAGTATTGATGTGCAACATCGGTGTTAAAAGGTTGTTATTAAGCACTAGATAACGCAAGTTCAAGTATCCTTACTACAGAAAATTCTGTGATGTGCTACTAGAACCCATGATTTGCACTAGGCATGTAAGAACAATAAAACGGTATAAAAGGGATTTATTTGATACCAATGATAGACCATGATGGTACCCGAATACACTAATATTTTTTATTATTGATTTATATCGATTGACAGTGAGATTTATAATATTATATTGAGTAGCACTTGACATTAATTAATTAATAATCTATTAAATGAACAAAAATTTGCATCATAAAATTCAATGTCTATAACCATTAGTTATATTCGATTCACTACAATCATATAATCACACGTTTTGTGATGCGATATTATGCGATAAACGACTGGAAAAAATTAATTTTGATAACCTCCCAGTCCTTGAACAACATGTCGTCAAGATAACAACCAGTTATCATAGATGATTTACTCATTTTCAATAAACATGTTTTCTGAGAATTTTATATTCCTTGTAGAGTTACATTTGTGAGATTCGTTGCTTTGTAAAATTGTAATGGTGAACAGTTGATGTATCTTAAGTGTCTATGAAATAGTATAAAAATTTAAAACCTCTATAAGTACATCTTATCACCGATTTTAGCTAACAAGTAGAATACCTAAAAGGAGAGATTAGAAATAAGATTAGGAAGATAATATATGAATAGTACCCTTTCTTATAGTTAAAATATTCACTTTTGAAACAGATATGCAAAAGTGTTTTCACAACCACATTAATAATATTTACAAGAAACTATACACTTAATAATGCACATTTTCCTGTAATTGTAAATAGTTATGTAGGTGGATTTCGACTGTCAAGTTGAGATGTGATATACTTTAACTGGAATTTGACAGAAAAATACATTATGTTTGTATTACCAGTGAATACATTAAATATCTAATAGATTCTCTATAATATTTTGTGGGGCCCTTAATTTTGTCGTCATTTAGTTCGTACGATGTTGTCGAAAGGTCTCTCCACTTTAGTGGCCCGAGAGCTGACTCCAAGGGAATCGTAATGGTGATTGTTGTTGAAATATATATGTCACCTGTCCTCGTGTATAATCATCGACTATTATGGCGGATTTAGATAAGTCAAATAACGAGAATGGACTTGTAAATACATATATTTTTGTACATGAAGCGAATGGAATAGAGAGAATAGAAACGACGAGCAGTGGAGATGGCTGGTAAGCAAACTCCATTTAACCAAGCGTTAATCAATATTTATAGGCACACAAAAATAAGTTGCAGACATGTGATGAGTAATAGGATAAGAAGTGTACACACACCTACGCGCTCATATAAAAACAGTCAAGCTTGATAAGCGAATAATTAACAAGGTTGGAATGTGGTTCAAGTAGAATGAATAGAATGGGCTGTTCGAAAGCTATAATCAGATATATAGGCTTAACATAATAACTGACACTACAAATACATTGACGGAACAATAAAAACAACTGTTATATCCTATTATCTAATTAACACGTTTACCTGTTTGTAAAAGTACCCTTTTGTTTAATTTTGTCAAAGTAAAATCATATATCTATCTACTTTTTTTTCATATCTTTTATGATAGAAACTTGAAGTTCCACATTATTTTAATCCAATCAGACAATGTACACCTAAATGTGACTTTGAATATTTCAGTGAAACATACCCTAAACTTACTTATTATTGTTGTCAAAATAATTATTGTAATAAAAGCATAAAAAAAAATCCAATAATAATTCATCATATACTACTAATAACTATCATCATTATTTATTTGTTTCATTATTTATAAAAATTGATGCAACAAAAAAACTCAACAGTACAATGTTCAAATCAAAATATCTCCATAAATTCACAATCTAATTTTTATATAATTAATCATGTGAAAAACAAAAAAACTGTGATTTCTTTATTTAAAGATGAGCAAAAAAATTTTTTCTATTTCGTTTTTCTCTTTTTTTTTCTTTTTTTTTAGGATTCATTAATTTATTTTATTTCAGCTTATGTTTTAGAAAAATAATAAATTCCATGTTTATTTTTATATTTTTTTTATATTGAATAATTTACCATTTAGAGGGATTACATAATACACGGGTGAGATACATGTTTATTTACATGACATAAGTTGGTTATCATCTATATCTCACAGGTTGAAATCATGAGTCAGTTGAAGCTAGACCACCATTGGGAACCTGGAAGCACTAGACGGCCGTTTCGTCCTAGTATGGGGCTCCTCAGCAGTGCGCATCCACGAACCCGCCCCCTGCGGGATTCGAACCCAGGACCTACTGGCTTCGCGCGCGAGCACTTAACCATTAGACCATTGAGCCGGCATCCAACGGTGTTAATGTCTAACTTCAACCAATCCACGAAGTTGCGCCATCGAACACCAATGTCTTCAGTGAGCTGATATCTCACAACAGACCTGGTTGAACTCCACTGGTGACGGCTTCTCACTAGAACTCCAGAAGGTTCTCTTGAAGTCAGTCACTAGTGAGCAGTTGATTATTATCAGAATGAGTTTTGTGGAGATTTCAATGGTGGTCTAGCTTCAACTTACTCATGATTTCAACCTGTGAAATTTACTAAAATCTCCACAAAACTCATTCTGATTATCATCTATATGTTTAGTAAAATTTATATCTTCTTTAAAAATTGATTGTTTCTGTGTACTAACATTTATGTATTTAATATTGAAAATGGTTTTTGTGGATATTATAATAATTTCAATGTTTGAGATCATGAGTCAATTGGAGCTAGATCACCGTGGAAAACCTGGAAGCACTAGACAACTGTTTTATCCTATTGTGGGACTCCTCAGCAGTGTGCAACCACGGTCTCGCCTCACGAGATTCGAACACAGGACCTATCAGTCTCGCGCCAGACGTTTAACCAACTAGACCACTGATCCAGCCGGCATCCAATGATGTTAATTTCTAACTTCAACTAATCCACGAAATTGAGCGACATATCCACCATTGTCTTCAGTGAGCTACTATCTTACAACTGGACCGGTTGAACTCCACTGGTCACGGCTTCTCACTAGAACCTCTTGAAGCCGGTCACTAGTGAGCATATGTTAATTCATATCAAAAGGGTTTTTGTGGATATTATGATAATTGCAATGGTTGAGATCATTAGTCAATTGAAACTAGATCACCATGGAAAACCTGGAAGCATTGGACGACTATTTCATCCTATTGTGGAACTCCTCAGCAGCGTGCATCATGTATTTGACTATAGATAAATCTAAAACACGGAAATATATGTCACTAGACTAATTAATACCTACAGTCACCTAACCATTATGTTATGCTATGTCTTTAACTTATACAATTATCGTAAAATACGACTGCTAAATTTACTTGCACTGACTTACACGACCAAACTAATGACGCATACACTAGTAAAAGCAGCCTAGAATTCCGATTGATCCTTTTTCCACCTAGACCTGCCTGTTAAGTCCAGAACGCCAATCTCAGCCTCCGCAATACGAATTGTATATTTTAAACTTACTGAGTTTATATACAAACAAATTAGACTACATCACACCATAAAATAGAAAATAACATTTGTACAAGATTAAGCCAAAAAGTTAATGTAATTGTGAGGGACTGTTGCTAACAAACTGGGAATATCTCAAGAATAATAAATTGTATCATAATAGTCAATAGGTCAAATAAAGGCTTATAATGAAAGGAATATCAATATGCATATAACATAGTTACTTAATAGTCATACAATAACACAGACTTCCTGAAGTTTTATTTTGCACAGAGTTGAGTCATATATTTTATTCTATACGTTCCGTTTAATAAAATAATGAAACAGATTGAAGTAAGTTATCATATAAATCAATGGTTTGAGTTCAACTGGCCAACTCGGAGTAAATAGCGTTAGTCGAGTTTCAAATGTTAAGCGTACATTTATCATCTGGAATCGGTGGCATGATAAATACATTCAGTGAAATATAAAAGTCGCATACAAATGTGTATATCAGCCATAAACATTCTAATTAGTAAGCGAATTCCTTAAAACAGTCAATAATTCATCATTAACTGTACCTAATTTGCCATTAGACCCATTTTTACTTGAGTTTTTTAACGGTGATACTCAAGTAGTCAACAGATTTTTATATCCTTATTTCTTCACTAGAACAATTAATATCACTGGGTTTTACAATCAGGCAAAAATTCAATTGCAAAAAAGTTGAGTTCAAGGAAGTGAAATAATGAAGAGCGCTATTATTTTCCAGTTCCACACTTCAGTAATCTATTATCACAATCATGATGAAGATACTTTTTGAAATTTTGCGATCCTCTGACTATAAGAAATCAAGTAAGAAACATGAATTTTGTACGATTCTAAAATGCCTCTGAATCTATCACTCCACAAATAAACTGAGAAAACACTTCATAGAGGCTTGTGTACTGATAACTATTTATACATAATTCCCTCCATTTTTTCCAATTATTCTAAACTTCAATTTCTTAAAGTTTACCTAAAATTAACAGAAAGTTCTATGAAGTATCTACAAACTCCACATTTAGTTGGAACAATAAATATATCAAAATAGAACATTGATATGCATTAGATTAGATAATAAATAATATATAACTCAAAAATAGAATTCGTAATGAATTGACAGGGCATGAATCAACCAGTTAGGTCTGGTGCATAATCTGAAAAATTGATGAAAGCGCACATCAACTAGAAAAGTGAATGGAGTTAAAACAAACATTTCTCAAAATTTTACTGTAAGAAATAATCTCTTAAAGTAGTCAAAATGATTAAAAGTTACATTTCAACAAAATGTTCAGTGCGAACAGTTTCAGAATTATTGCTATCCTGAAAAATTCAAATGATGTTTATTGAATACATTGAAGTTTTGATACTCGTCAATGTTTCGTGAAGTGAAGTATCACAAAACACCTCGTTTAGTCAACAAGTCAAATGTATCTATACATCTCACATTTTACTGACTATTACAGCACGAAAAATAATGCAGTTTCTGTGTATATGCCTCTGTAAATCATAGGTTCTTAGTTGTGATTATATAAAGACTCTGGTTACGAAATGGCCGTGGGTGAGATGAACGTGAAATCTGAAAGAAGGTAATACTATTTTAGCTGTTCAAATTCCAAAATTCAAACGAGAGAAAATTTAACTGTGAAGAGTTTTTACAGTCTTAGTAACAAACACGTAATTATAAGTTAAAACATAAAAGATGAACAAGAGCGTTCATCCACGATTGTTTCTGTGATCATTTTATGGAATACAGATATTTATGGTCAACAAGAAAATCATATACCTTCTTTCTATTACTTCTATTTATGTTGGACCCTAATCAATTTTCCTTCTCAATTCACTTAGTGATAATACACACACTGAAATTTAAGACGTTCAAGCTAAATTCATTTCTACTATAATTCAGCTTAGACAACCACTTTCCTTCACAAGAAAGAACATATTTGCGTCATTATATATGATACTACACCTCTACACATAATTATTTACATGTAATTTTGCTTAAAAACAAAATATGAGTTGAAATTTGTTTAGTTATTGGATTCTTGGAAAAAACGATTGTCATTCAGTGAAAACTCATAACACTGTATATAACACAGTTGACAAATCATTTAAAACAAACAATATTCACTTGACATAACAACAAAAGTTTACAATTCATGACAAAGTGTGTTTGAAGATGACAAATGTGGAAAACTATTACCGTATGTAAATTTCGTAAATCATTTGATTTTCAATTTTTCCATAATGATTTTTCATGACTTACAACTGTTGTTGAGATCTTTCTCCATTCCAAATTCAAAGCAAAATATCACGTATTCAATACTTTGTATTTTGATATTAGTCACATGAAACACATTTGTCAACAGAGTTCTCAGTCAATAATTTTAGTAATGTGGGCGTCAACTCTCTGTTTCATATTGTGTTCAGATGTATGTTAATATGAAATTTGACAAAATAATAGAGTTGCCTCAGTTTTGAACTACACAGATTGACATTGTGATTGTGATGTATCAAGTTTGTTAGTGAGAATTAAGACGAGGCTGAGTATGAATAAGATGACATGATGAAGAGATTTCCACGATTTTCACTTGCAACATTTCATGAGATATGTATCTACTCCTACTGCAGTTAGTTTCTGAATAATTTTCTAATTTGTCTGGTTATTGTGTAGGACCTTGTGAATTAATGTGGGAAATCGCATTTGTTTATCAATGATATATAATCACAATAGCTTTATTCTTCACTACGAATTGGTTACAGTAATGAATTGTCAACATGACTTCTGAAATATTTCAACATATTTCTACATAACCTACATTCATATTGTGGTTATTCAAAAATTATACATACTCAGTGTTTTCTTAATATCAGTATAGGGTTATGGAGATTGTTGAGCTTTGACGGACACCATGAATCGATCAATGTTTTTCAGTAGTCATCATCAGTCACACAACTTCACATTTCTTTCACACTTAGTATAGATGTTATTGTCCTTATCCAATTACACAGTTCCCTGCATCTTCACTGAAAAGACTAAGAAATCAGTTATTAACTCATCAAGAGTTTTCTAATATTTTCCTAAAATCAGTTCAACATTTAGAACTAACAACTACTATTTAGATCATCTTGCAATTCGCATTTTCTTATAATTACCACTTTCTAAAATTGGTATTGATTGA